CGATATTAAATGGCTATTGGCTAGTTGTAAACACCAATCAGATATTAATTTGCTGAAATAACATCTAACATGGGGAACAAACGAAGAATGGAAGATAAACATATGAAGAACATGCTCACGGATTTTTATGACAGATTATGAAATTGAACGTTTTTCACCATGAAGAAATCAGAACTGGTAAGAGTTCAAGAATACAAAGTTTTAGAGTAGAAAGAGATCTATAAAAATGTAAAAGGCAAAGAAATCAAAAGATGAACGGAAATATGACTTTTTTATGCTTTTTGACAGAATACGAAAAGTTTATGAAATTGAGATAACAAGAAAATCAAAGATAGATTGAACAAAAACGCAAAGGAAACATATATCCGATCTTGAGCCTAAAGCTCTGATACCAAATGTTAAGAAACCCTTGAGAGTTGGATCTAAGAACCTTGTTAACGAACAAGACCCATAGAACATAATCCCAAAAACCCCAAAACCGATTAAGGAATCAACCCAAGGAAAGTAAAAACCAGATTACCTTGATGATCAAATATCTCAAGGCAAGAAAACTCGCTCCTTGTTTGAGATTTGAATCACTCCCCAAGCAAGATAGATCAAGTCTCACTTGAATGATCCTAAACATGCAAGGTATCACTAGATTGCAAAATACATTAGCTTTTGGCTAAAAGAAAGGCTCAAAGGCTCATTTCATTTCATTACATCTCAATTCTATATTCTATCCTTTCAAAGCTGACATACATGGTTATATATAGCCTTCAAAACAGTCCTTAAAAGCTGAAATCCTAACTAAAGCTCGGCCTATTCAAATGAACAAAGATCTGGTGAAAACTTGTACAGACGAAATAACAGATCTACTCAAAAAGGGACTCATTAGCCCTTCTAAGAGTCCTTGGTCATGTTCGGCTTTCTATGTCAACAAGCAAGCCGAGAAGGAACGAGGAATTCCCAATCTTGTAATAAATTACAAGTCTCTCAACAAAGTTCTCAAATGGATTAGGTATCCTATACCTAATCGCCAAGATTTGCTAAAAAGGATTACTTTAGCAAAAGTCTTCTCAAAGTTCGATTTAAAATCTGGGTTTTGGCAGGTCCAGATTCATCCAAATGACCGCTACAAGACAACCTTCAATGTTCCATTCGGACGATTTCAATGGAACGTAATGCCTTTCGGATTGAATAATGCTTCATCCGAGTTTCAGAAGATAATGAATGATATCTTCAGCAAATATCAAGATTTCACAATAGTTTATATTGATGATATTTTGGTATTCTCAAATACTGTGGATCAACATTTCAAGCATCTGCAGTTATTTCTCAACATTATCAAAACAAATGGTCTTGTGGTTTCGCAACCAAATATCAAACTGTTCCAAACAAAGGTCAGATTTCTCGGTTATGATATTGATCAAGGAATCATTAAGCCGATCCAAAGGTCTCTGGAATTTGTTGATAAATTCTCAGATGTCATACAAGACAAAACATAGCTACAACGATTTTTGGGTTGTGTGAATTATATTGGAGACTTTATTAAAGACCTTCGTACAATCTGCCTGCCACTCTATGATAGGTTGAAGAAAAATCCAAAGTCATGGACTGTAGAGCATACACGCGCAGTCCAATCTATCAAATCCCTGGCCAAGAGCATCCCATGTTTATCTCTTGTGGATGATCAAGCACGGATTATTGTCGACACTGACGCATCAGATGTTGGTTACGATGGTGTATTCAAACAGGAAGTTAACGGGAAAATCATGATTATCCGTTACCATTCAGGCATTTGGAATAGTGCCCAGAAAAACTATTCCACAGTGAAGAAGGAAGTATTAGCAATAGTACTTTGCATACAAAAATTCCAAGGAGATCTTATCAATAAAGATTTCACGATCCGGACAGATTCAAAGGCAAGCAAATTCATCTTTGAAAAAGATGTAAAGAATATGGTCTCAAAGCAAATCTTTGCAAGATGGCAGACAATACTGTCTTGCTTCGATTTTCAAATTGTGCCTATAAAAGGAAGTGATAACTCCCTTAACATTGCTAATCATATTATAAATAATATGAATAAAAACATTCCTAATCATAGTGATAGTGACAATTCTAGTTACAGTCCTCTTGAGAAAACAAGAAATTGGTTATTGCTCCTTTACTTTCAAGAACTCGTATACACTAAGACCTTGGACAAACAATATTTCTTTTTTTTTTACTTGCTGATTACCTCCCAAGAGAACACTCTTGAAGACACCAAAATCTCCTTCTCTCTTCCTCCCGATGGAACCTCCTCTTGGTCGAAGGCGGCCAAACACTCAGCGGCCCCCGTTGCAAAACAACCAGCGACCTTCGTCGCCTAGAAATGATCGCACAATTTCACCCCAAGCAGTAGCATCCCCTTCCAGTGCTACTACCTCAAAGGGCAAAAGACTCATTTCTCAATCATCTGTACCATTTCCGATGGATGCAGAAAATTACGCTATGGATATCCAGTTTAAGACAATATCCAGACGTTAACAAGGTTCTTCTCAAAAGACCTTGTCCATTCAATTAGGTCCATCCAGTCTTCCAATCCCTTCAAGTACGTTGTTACGCCCGTTTGGCACTACAACGAAGAACAGGCGTCTTGCCTCAGCAGCCGCTTCTTCAAAATCTACTATTCCGAGGAATCCTTCCTCGTTTTCTCAAATCGTCAGGCCAAAAGTTTTTCAGCTAAGACCTCCAATCAATGGTTATTTCACCAAAACTACCATGGTGGATTCAACCATTGAACCAGAATTCGACGGACTTTCGGTCCAAGAAGTCTGCAAACAAATATTTCCTCATGGCTTCAACTTCTTGCCAGAGGATCTTCAAAAGACTCGTACTTTTTATGAGTTTATTCTCGTTGATTCCAAATCAGCAGAAATAACTCATGTTCCAGATAAAAATGATCCTTCCAAGACCATTTATTCAAAATTCTGAATCTTCCTCCTGGAAACAGGGTATGTTCGTAAGGAAGAAGTTTACAAAAACCTTTAAGCCACAGACTTACAACTATCGTAACTACATGAAGGCGTGATATGTTGTCTTCTGGCTTCAAGGCTACAACCACTCTTGGTTTGTGACCTTTTGTAAGCAAGCTTACAAATCTCACTTTCCAAATTGGTTTCAAAGTTGGTGGACGTACTTTGGTCTCTCCGAGGAAATTTTTCCGGTCGAGGTTCAACGTTCGTACCATCTCTTCCAACAAAGTATCTACTCATCTCCCATTTCTAAGACGTTTAGATTCGTTTTGTATTTCCAAGTTCCATGGATCTTCTGCTGGAATTTCGAGCTAGGACCCAGTGGCAATTTCAAAGCGTTGAGCAAAACTTTATGCATCAAATGGTGGGAAAAATTTGACTACTCCTACCTAGAAGCTGAAAAGATGAAAATCTGGTTCAAGACCAACGTTCATCTCCAAGACATGACAAGGCAAGAAGACGAAAATTTCCTTCTCGCCAAAAATGCAGTCATGAGTTCACTAGCTGGAGCCGAGTCTCAGGCCGACTTCAATTCAGTTCTCAATACCGTCGTGGTTCAAATCTCTGATCCAGACGACCTTCAGGCGGATGCTGATTCCTCCGCCTCTGTCAATAACGATGTTGAAAACGACGAAGACAACTTCGATCCCTTCGAAGGCTACGACATCAACGATCCATATTTAGATTCACAGCCCTGTTGACGATTCTGAATCTGGATCTTTCAAGTGTTTAATTTAATTTTCTTATTGTAAATTACTGTAAATTAATTTGTTTAAATTTCGTTTAAGTTTTTAGATAAGATCATTGAATTCTGATCTTATCATCACTCTCCCAGTTTGTTATTTCTTGAAGGAACTGCAAAAGAAATTCAGATGAAGAAGATGACACGCTTTTGATGTGGAGTAACCAACCACAAGGCAGCGCGGTTAGCGTAAAGGATTGACTCAATTGAGAGGATTCTATATCTCACAGGCAACTCTAGTCGAAGATAGAAGGTGTTCCTTGGGCAGTTTAGGCGAGAGGCCGTGAGTAAGACCCTAGAACGGCCTAATCAGACACCAGAGAAGCCTATACGATGATATACAGAATCCGCAATCCTCGCTAAATCAAAAGTAACCAGGTGACTTTATCAAACTTCCGAAGCAAGTTTCCAGTCTGAAAGCAGTCATGTTAGCCTTTATTTTCCGTCTTTTCCTTTAGTTTGTCAGTTTGTAATAATTTCCCGTTTTACTTTATTTCTTTTCTTTCTTTTGCAAAGATAAGATGCCCTTTGTCGGCCACACTTATCTTTACCTTTTTAAAGTAGATTCCAAAGAGATAAGATGCCAGTCAAGGACTTGTCTTGTCGGCCAAATCTTATTTTCTTTGTTGTATCCAATTATGTTGAGACAAGTGTCGAGACAATAGAAAGAATCAATAATTACAACTAGTTGCAATTATCGATTATTTTCTATATATAGCACTTGGTCCCGACCAGAAATGGTATCTATATATAGCACTTGGTCCCAGTTCTGGTCGGGATTCTGATACCATTTCTGGTCGAGATTCTCTGATCAAAAGATCATAAATTCAAATTGTCGCTCTGGTATATTGTACTAAGAAAAATTGATTAAATTAACATATCTATATCTACTAAAAAGTAGTAAATTTGGAGAAAAAATTTATCTAATATCAAATATTCAATTCTGACATCTCTTTTGGGTGTGAGTTCGACGGGTTTTTGGGATTTTTGACCCCTTCCAATAATAATTTTGGATTTTTGACCCTTTTTGATATTTACTTATTCATAACCCCTCTACCTCAGTTTTCTGACATTTCCCTTTATTTTGCTTGGTAAAATTACCAAGTTACCATCAATTTAAAAAAAGAAATCAAACCCAGCCCTCCCCTCCCTTCCTTCCATGTCTCGATCCTTCCCCTCCCTCATTCACTATCTCGTTGTCCATCCCAGTCTTCATCTTGCTATCTCCCTCACTTCGCACTTCATCTCCGTCGTTTCTCTTCTCGTCTCCCTCGCTTCGTCTCTATCAGAGCTTTCCCCCTTCCCTAATCGAGGTAATTTTTCTTTCAAGTGTGAATGCTTTTCTACTTTTTTTTTCCTTCGTTCTTTGCGTGGGTGTGAAAGACTTCAACCTTCGACTCTATCTGAAGTAGCCAAGGTTCTTTGCGTGTTGCTTCCATTAATTTTTTTTTGTTGAAGGGTTCCATCTCGGCTTTAAGCCC